AAAATATGTATATTTCCCCCCCCCCTCTTGATTACTGAAGAACTCCCAGCCTATGGGTTCAACTGTGAATTTGGCTACAGCTCTCAGAAGACAATCTGCCGTTGGGAACACGACAGCCGGCTGGACCTGAAGTGGGCAGTGCTCACCAGCAAAACAGGGCCCATTCAAGACCACACAGGTAATGTAGGGTTCACAATGGAGTCAGCTGTAGGTGGCAATAAAGGGAGCATTGTGCTTATTGGAAGCTCTGCCAGCTAAGGGCATTTTACGTGAAATGAATTAAGGTATTGTGTTCTTCTAAAAGACTTTTAGATTTTGTCTACTCTGTCCTTTTAATTTTGATTCAGATTACTGTGGCAGAGCTGTTGCTTTGCATGTACACTTCCAGAACTACTTCTAGGAACGCTCCGATCAAGCTACTTCTAAAATATTTTAAAGATTTTCTTAGGTAGGCGTCCTTCTTTAGTAAGATCTCAAAAATCCTGAGGAACTACAGCTTGAGAAATTCTGCCTGCCTCAGTGCTCAGTGATCAACCGACCCCCCCCCAAAAAAAAAACACCTAGTGAGCAAAGGGCATATTGTGACCTGCTTTTCCCTTGATTATTTTTCATTTATGCAAATAAGTCAAATGTGCTGCCATTGACCCCCCCCCTTTCAGTTTTCACTTTCTGCAACCCTCCTTTACTTAATGAGAATGACAAGGAAATTAGACAAAATTGGACTCCTTAAATTTAGAGACACTTTCAATTGAATCTTAAGACAAGTACATTGGGTTTTAGGGGGGTAGAAAAAGAACTTTAAATACTTTGACTATAAATGGCACTGTACAAATAAATGGCATCAAATTAAGCAAACGGCAGTTAGCTGAAATGAAGGCTGCAATAATGGGGGGAAAATTGATGCAAAGTAAAATGAAATGGCTCCGTACAATCTGACATTGAATGGAGGTTAAAAGCCACGTTAGCCAAAGACTGACAAAATCTAAAAGGCATGCACAAGTTGAGCTCTAATTAAGACAAAGAAGGCAGAGTTCCTGACCTGGAGCTGCAGTAATATTCTTGAAATGAAAAATATTTGAACTTTGCCACCAAAGTCTAGAGACAGGCACAACTTGTCCTCTCACTGAAGCGTGGGGGGGGGGATAATATCCATTAAATGAGGTTTGTTATCACTGCACTTGTTTCAGAGTTTCAGGTGCCTTTTGCATTCCAAAGATGTACTCTGGAAGAGTTTTGACAGGTGCATCTTGAGTTTGGATTGTTCTTTTCTTCCACCACACTCTAACTACTCTCTGAATCATAGTGCCAGTAGGTAAAGGCGCAAATCTGCCATTGTATGCTGTGGCATTCAGCATTCCTGGAAGCACTACAGGGAATTATTCTAGATGTGTAAGTGGATATGCTGAGCGACACAAGTAGCTGGGCTCAGGATAGAAGAGTTCTCAAATTCTGATCAAAAATTCATGATTTACGCTTGGTTTTCATCCAGCTGACTTCTATTCAGCTGGACGGCATCAGAAGTCGGCATACAGGGCAGCAAAAAAATATACCATTTAGTCCCTAAAGCAGCAGGAAATGGGAGGGAAGAGCTGTGGCTCAGTGGAAGAGCCTCCGCTTTGCATGCAGAAGGCCCCAGGTTCAATCCCTGGCACCTCCAGTTAAAAGGACCAGGCAGCAGGCCATGTGAAAGGCCTCCGCCTGAGACCCTGGAGAGCTGCTGCCAGTGCAAGTAGACAAGACTGGCTTTAATCTGATTCACTATAAGGCAGCGTCATGTGTGTCCATGTGAGATGTGTCTTCCCTCCTGTTCAGTCCCAGACTGTGGCAACAGGGCAATGGGGAAGGGGAAGGCCAGCAAGGAGATGCTGTGACTGCCACATCCTGTGCTACACCAAGGCATTTAGGTCCTTTCCGCACTTGGATCTCATCCCTGGTTTTATCAGAGTTCAACTCGCGACACAATACCTTGCATTTATCCCTGGTTATAACAGCATCCGTTTATCCCGGGACAAGTGTGGGGCGAAACCGGGTGACCTCAATGTAATGGGGAAACAAAAAATACCCCGAGATAATTACAGGGGTGAACTCGCGTGTAGTGTAGAATGTAAGTTTGGGGACAGGGTTGAACCAGGATTTAAGGTCTAGTGCAGAAAGGACCTTAAAGACGTGTGCTTTGTCCAGGTTGCAACCCTAGCAGTGCCTCTAGTGGCCGGCTATGCATCAACCCATGACAAATGGCGTGGGGGGAATGGTAACTGCCAAACAGCATGTGTGAGCTGCACCACAATTAGAGATCCGTAACCTGTCAATAGGCAATTTAAATGCTGGAGAAGGGACAAGAAGTTGGCTGGGAAAGAACCTGGCCCATATCAGAGAGACTGCAAAGTCAGAGGGAAGGTTACGTTAGAAGCCTTCTTTGATAAGTTTTAACTGGGCAGGGGTGGTTGTGTGTATGTGAGTGATTCAAGCATGCAGTCTCCTATACCCACTCAAGAGTTGGCATAGTGCCTTCACTTTACAAGACCTGAGCCATTCACAGGGTCACCGGCACATAATATATATACACATATCACTAATCAGTCTGAAGGCACCAAATGCCTAAATTTGCTCTAGTTTAACATTTTGAAGAAAGTGTCCCAAATCTTTGGATTTGCTTTACCAAAAAAAACCCACATCCTTTAGCTGTTGTGCATCACCAGCAAGATGCACCTTGGTCACTCTAGCTTATCCAGCCTGTTCAATGATAGGTGTCTTTTCCCCTAGATTCTTGTCCCTGCTGCTTACACTGTCACCTGAAGGATCAAATGCTACATCATGTTCCTGCTACTGTGTTAGAAAGCTCATAGTTGGAGAATCTGGACTCGTTGGGGAGGAGAGGATGAGGCCAGTGCATGGAGCAAGATTAGGCCTTTTCCAAGCCTCTACTTTTCTTACAAGTGCTTGGAAGAGGACCAGATCAGTTCTGAAACACTTGATGCTTATGAGGCTTAAGATAGCTGAAAGTGGGCCATTATTTCTAATGCAGTGTTTTTGTCACAGCAGGAGATGGCAATTTCATTTACTCACAAGCTGATGAAAACCAAAAAGGAAAGGTTGCACGGCTCATCAGCCCTATCGTCAACCCGCAGAACTCTGCTCATTGCATGACTTTCTGGTACCATATGTCTGGCCCCCATGTTGGCACTCTACGAATCAAGCTGAGGTATCCCTCGCCTGAAGAGTATGACCAAGTCCTCTTGACATTGAATGGAAATCAGGGGAACTGCTGGAAAGAAGGACGCGTCCTCCTCCACAAATCTGTGAAACATTATCAGGTAGGCAAAGGCAAAGGAAAAATGTGTCCAAAGGAGCCATAGCTCAGTGGTAGAACATGTCTTGCATGCATAAGGTCCTGAGTTCCATCCCCACCTTAGTGCCAGAAAAGACCTTTACTTGAGACAATGGGAAGCCACTGCTAACTGGTTTAGATATACTGGGCTGGATGAATCAATAGTCCAGTTCTAGACACAGGAGCAAGGACGTGGCAGCTGGCTACATTTGTGCACATTTAGGGCTGTTGATAAGAGGGACGAAGCAGACAAAATTAAGGAGGCCTTGGTTTCCAAAGGCTCCTGAAGGCTTCCAGAGCCTCACAAAACCTTCCAGAGCTTCCCACAGTTCCTGTGGCACTGGCTTAAGCCTTGCAGGAATGACGGCAGCTATTCTATACCAGCCATTGGGGCCTGGGTGGGCTGTGTCACTAGAAGGGTCAGTGGCTGCAATGCAGACCCTGCTGGCAAGGTCTGCCTGCCTGAAGCTGTTTCCTTTCCTTTTCAATTTAAAAGACTGAAAGGATTATTGGGGTGGGGTAGCCCCACTATCAGCTGATAGTCGGGCCTGAGCCCTTTACAATTTGGAAGGGGACAATGCCACCCAACAGCTATTTGGAGATACTAGCTTGCTCTCCCTTCCTCCCAACTCTTGCCGTGGGGGGTGGGGGGTGGGGAGTGCAAAACAAAAATCTATTTTAATTTTAGGTAGATTTTTTTTAAGGGTATACTTTTCGGGTGCCGAAATTATGGAACCTGAAAATTTTGTGCCAGATGAGAATTCTTAAAACGAAACCCTCCTCCAAAAATAATAATAATCTGGCATTCCAAAAAAGCATGCCCTGCAGAAAATCCTGAACCAAAACTAAAACAGTAAGTTTTGAAGTGTACAGCCCTATTGTGGCATAGGACTGTTTTGTCTCAAGTTGTTTCTTGAAGAAAGGAAATTATTTTTTGCATTCCTTCTGAAGTCCATTACAAGCAAAAAGAGCACAGTGAGTGTCACAGCAGATGGGCCCTAAAATCCTGGGGCATTTTCTCACATATGCTTCAGTGGGGACTCACTGGAAAGGAGAGGATGAGGACAGTGCACGGTGATGAGAAAGTAAAACCAATATTGGCCAGAATGCTCATCTGCATTACAAATGCTTATGTCCTGTTTTCTTTCCCTCATCAATGGTGATCAGAAATTAACATAAATACTGGGAAGTAAGGTTCAAAGGTGATTAGATTAATTGTATTAATGTTATATTAATTATATTATATTAATGACTTTAGTGTGAAAATGCCTGAGGTCAACATCCAGCAGTAAAATCAAGGAGCAGTTGAGAATACTGAAACTGCATGCGTCCACCTACAGGGCTATATCTTACAACACTGCAGTTAAGAACTGCTGTCTTTTTGATAAATTACAGCTCATATCTTAAATGCGCCTTCACTACTTGTTGTTCATTTATAATTTTGGAAACTACAGCTTTAAGAAATGAGAAACAGATTATAGAATTACGGTTTAAGTGTCTTGCTTGTCTAAGAACTCCGAAGATCTGCTTCTGAGCTTGAGCTCTAAACCAGTGTCATGTGATTATACCAGGTGGTGGTGGAAGGAGAAATAGGAAAAGGAAATGGAGGAATTGCAGTGGATGACATTAACATTGACAACCACATAGCACAGGAGGAATGCAGAAGTAAGTACAACTCGCCAGGAGTGAACAAAACTCTCATTCAGAATGTTATTAAGTCTTGCCTGAAAATAAATACTGCGTCCTTTCCTTTTAGCATTAATTATTTCTGTAATGTTTTCCTAGTTTGCGAAGTGCTTCATAATGCTTATGTCACCTAAGCCCTAGGAGGCAGTTCAGGTTCAAAGCAACATGTCCAAGACCCCTAAGAGTCCAGTGGTATATAGACTGTTCAGTGTCTGCTGTCACCAGATCTAGTTCCACTCTTGCTGTTCTCAGTATTAACAATGGGGCACAATATCTATTTATATGAAGAAAATATAAATATAAAGCTGTCCCTAATGAATTGGAACTGTCAGATCTTCTACTCTTTAGAAGCTTTGGAGCCAGTTTGGTGTAGTGGTTAAGTGCGCGAACTCTCATCTGGGAGAACCAGGTTTGATTCCCCACTCCTCCACTTGCAGCTGCTGGATGGCCTTGGGCAAGCCATAGTTCTGTCAGAGCTGTTACTGAAAGAGCAGCTCTCAAAAGAGCTCCCTCAGCCCCACCTACTTCACAGGGTGTCTGTTGTGGGGAGGGGAAGGGAAGGGAAAGGTAAGCTGCTCTGAGACTCCTTTGGGTAGTGAAGGGCAGGGTATAAATCCAATCTCTTCTCTTCTTCTTCTTCTTCTTTCTCTTCAATTAACTCCACATGTTTCTGGGACGCTATTCCTAGAGAAGATCATGGTCAAAGGCTGTGGTCTCGTAGTTCAAATCACAGGTTTTTGCTGCTCACTGCATCCAGCAGAACTATTTCTTGCGGTTAAGTGCCTGCTTGTGTATGATGAAGGGTCTTGCAGCACCAGGCTCTAAGATTATAAATACAATGAATGAAACATGTTAATTTCACCTACTGATTTTCATTTTCAAGAAACAGAACCCTCCTGCTGAGAGCTCTAAAAACTGTGCCAAATTAGGGGCGGAGGGGAATTTTTAAGCGTTCTTTTCTCTTTTGCTAATTTTGGGAGGCCAGGTTAATGAACAGCTCTATCAAGCTGACAAAATCATGCTCCAAGACAGGAGGAAAAATTCTCAATACCATTATTGCCAGCATGATGGCCAATCAGTGCTTGTAACCCTAATAATCAATGTCAATTCTCTCTGCTTTGCTAGGGTCAAATGATGCAGGGAATGAAATAGCTGAAGAAGAGCCAGATATTAATCAAACAGGTAAAGTGTTCCTTTAGTTAAAAATTGACTTGATTTTCATGGGGGTCTTGGCATGATGTGAACTGATTTCAATACCCATTACTCTCCTACAAATGTAGCTTGAGTTTATTTACTCACGTACAGGTGCAGTTTAAATTTTATGCATGTTTACAACACGATTTTAAGGCTGCAGACAGACAACAGAAGACAAGAGGCATAGTTGTAATATGTACAGGTTTTGCAGCACAGTCGTTCCTGATACTCTCGGGGGAATCCACTGTAACGTGCGCAGTCCTCATTATATGGAAAGGCAAAACAGGGACTTGTTTTCCTTGCATCTGACCTAAGGGCTGATTCTGATGCTGGTAAATAAACAGTGTTATTCTACAGCAAAACAAAGAAAGAAACTTAGCACATTCAGGGTAAATTTAGCAGATTCCCAAAAATCCAGTATCCTTGTTCTCCAAGCATGCATCTGGTACAGAGTCATCTGACAGAGCTTTTTTTTTTTTTTTTTTTTTTCATTAAACTTTTCTAGCCATGTGCATACATTACTTCAGGCATGCAGAGTTACGTGTGGGGTTAGGACTGTGTGTCACAACTCTTGATGTGTACATGTTCAGGTGACTCCATAGAATCTACAAGTATACAGCTGTGATCAGGAGCCCCTGGAAAAACCAGAAATCCTTTAACCTGCTGAAATTGGGGGTTGGGTAGTATTTGAATTATTGCTTACAAGGGGAAACAGAATGTGTGCTTTGATAGATAAATAAGTGAATAGACAGTAGGCACTGCTGATTGAATAAGAGCTGGCCTGGCTCTCAAAAGCCATTTTAGATGCCACGATGCAGACATTTTTGTTTGTGAAGCAGTTTGTGAATGACCAGCATTTCACGGAGAAGAGGAGGAAGCCCACACGCAAGTGGGGGTGTGACGTGTGACATCGAGCACACACACACACATATCACTGGTGGCTAGGTGCACTTGATACAGGGTGAAATGCTACCTGAGGGCATGCTGACCTATTTGCCTTGAAAAACAAAGGCTTGGTGAGCTTCCTAGAGGGTGAACAACCGGGACAAACTTGATCAGATTTCCTAAGGTGGACTAAAAGTGTAAATGTTTCTTGATGAGTGTACCTGGGGTGGACTATAGGTGCTAAAGGCTGCTTAATGGCCCTCAAGTACTGGATGGGAGAAGCTACAGGGTTTGTGAATAGTATTAAGTGTGGGTCATTAGTCAGCCAGCCACCTGACTCACCTTCCAAATTATTTTCCCAAGCTGGTCTTCTGACTGGTATCCATTTTGTGTGATTTTGGGCCAGGCAGTGTCTTATGATTTTTGAGGTGATATTGTATGAGGGGTATTCATGCCTCTTTCTCTCTAACCCCTAAACTGCCTCCTCTGCAGGAGGAGGGGTCTTACTACTAACAAACCAATGATGGTTCCATTTAAACAGAGAGGCAAATTAGGATGGGGGTCAGAGAATCATAGAATCACAGAGTTGGAAGGGGCCACACAGGCCATCTAGTCCAACCCCCTGTGCAATGCAGGATCAGCCTAGAGCATCCCTGGCAATCATCCCTGACAACATCCTTGTCCAGCTGCTGCTTAAAGACTGCCAGTGAGGCGGAGATCACCACATTTCTAGGTAGTTGATTCCGCTGTTGCAAGGAAGGAGAGTCCCAAGGAAGGAGAGGAGGGGAGAGAAGGAGGGAGGAAGAAGGGTAAGGAAAGAGGATGAGGGTCATCAACTAAAAAAAGGTGTGTTGGACAAAACTAAAATAAGCCAGATCAAAAATAAAATGTTTTTCCTTTGTCTTTGAATTCAGGCTGGTTTACCCATGAACCTGGGCAAGACGGGGTAAGGGTTCCCTATCTACAAACCAAAATTAAATGCAATGCAAAACAATCAAATAATAAAGCAATTAAATCAATGTATAAAGCAATTAAATCAATGGAACAATGAATCAACTTAACAAATTGATTCTAAATAATAACTAAATAATTAAATGATATGGAACAAATAAATCAATGATTTAAAGCAAACGAAATCAACTCCAATAATTTGACCCAATAATAAAGCAAAGGAATTAACTAAATGCTAAGGTGAGTAATTGGAACCGATAAGGCAATGATCTAAGGCAAGTGAAATTAACTTGAAAACAACGAATGTCTAAGAGAGTACACACATAAAATCATACGTGAACTTAACTATATACAGAAATAATTTATCTGAAAGGTGGTGACAATCACCACCACCCCAAGTCCAAAGTGACCAGAACAAACAATTTGTGCTGTGATACAGCATACATGTGCATTTTGAAGTCACACACACACACCCCGTGTCCAAGGCAATCTGGGATATGTGGCAAAAAAAACCCCCTTGTATTCCAAGACAGCATCTGGAGGGCTACAGAGAGGCATTTGCAGCTGGCTGCAGGTGACGGTCCTGGGCAGGCAGAGGCTCACAGAGGCAGGAGCAATGACTTTGAATGGGAAACAATCAGAGGAAGGGGCGGGTGGATATAATGGCCTGCCCAGGAGACGGCATCAGCGGATAATAGGCATGGACTGTGTCTGCAGGCTGGCGAATCCAAGCTTGGGTGCCTGCAGGTCAGGGAGGAGCTGGAAGAAGTCATCGGCAAGACCTGCACAGCTGGAGCTGTGGGGCTTGATGAGAAAGGGCTCGGAGGAATGTGGAGATGGCTGAACTGTCAGTTTCCTTTGAGGTCAAAAGGCCAGTAGCAGCTAACTTAAGCAGAAACGGCCAAAGTTTTGGAGGTGCTGCTAAATCTGGGCGCTTTGGCACTCATGCTGCTCCAAAGCCTGCTGGCTATGCATATTAGGCGACGTGCCCAAAAATGTGGATGAAAAACAGCAGAAATTGCTAAAGAAAAAAGAAAGAAAAGAAAGTGGGCTGTGTAGCCACTATGACTGTTATAGTGATTGAAAAAGTGGAGGACCCTGGAAAAAGCTGGCTTTCTTCATCTGAGGGAGGGTCAGGCCCTCAGAACCTGCCTTGGTGAGCATTCTGAATCCGTACAGGTTCTCACAAGGGAACCTGGTTTTCTTTCCCTTGTAGGCAAAGGCTCGGCCCATGGAACCTACCATTTTTCCTGGTTTTGAGGAGCCGGTCCTACCTGCATGGGGGGCTTCTCTATGGGATCCCAGGGGACTCTTCTCTCTCCCCCCTCCAAATATGGTTAAAGAATAGAAAAAGGGAAGCAAAACGAAGCTGAGAAGCAGCAAAGATGGGCAGCCTCGGCTGACCCAGGCTTGCTGTTTCTAGCCTCGTGATCTGGCATCTCACATGCTGGGTGAGAACGAGCAAAAACTAAAAGAACCTGAAATGCAATAGTTAACACACACACAAAAAAACAAACCTAACAACTTTCCAAACTGAGCAAATGCTGGAGGACAGCAGAAGACAGGAGGGCTTGGCGTGATGTGGTCCATGGGGTCTCGAACAGTTGGACTCGACTGTGCGACTGAACAACAACAAAACATCTTTACTGCATGAACTATTTCCAGAAGGGGTGCGCCTTTTCCATTCTTTTCCCTCCCTCATTTCTGAAGGCAGGAGGGATTCACAGGAGGGAATTACCTCTAGCATGGCTTAATGGGCCATGGAAGTTTCTGCTAAATCGACTGGTGGTTGGGCAGGTGTGTGGCTTAGCGAGACCTGCCGAACTGCCGTTGAAGACACATGGGATGGCTGTTGCACAAGGAAACCACGAGGCAATTGGTCTGTAGGCTCTTCCCCTTCCATTTTTTGAGTTATGAACAGTGGAAGTACTTTAGCCAAAGTCCTTCCCTTTTGGGGAGTTTGACTCGATAGACTGCTGAGCTAATTTTTCCTGGAAATGCAGACTGGACCTTGCCATTTGGCTGTAAGAGTGCGTTCTTTTCAGAAAATAAGAAGGTGAGGGCAGAGTCCCAAGGACTCAAACTCAAAAGTGGAGCTACCAATGAAGGACTGGGGGGAAGGAAAGTAGGCTCTGTAAGGGGTTCTCCCCTCCACAAACAAGTATCCAACGGGGACAGGGATTATAAAACAAAACTTAAGGTTATTGCAATAGTGGCTGTCTTTTATCTTTTCATAGAGCCTTTATACTTACTCCTCCTAATATTGCTGGAATATCTGTCCAAAATATGAGAGCATACACTTCTCTCCACCCAGGCATTTTCCTGGATGGAAAGGAGGCTCTCTCATGTAGTCTATGTGTCACGCGGCTACTTTTACATCTTCCCATGAGTCACAAAAGATTTTCAATAGACTTACTATTGTGGCTGAAAGGGGGTAAACTTTCAAATCTTTAACATTAGAATATATTTTTTTAAATTACTGTGTTCTCCCGTAGTTCCCTCTCGGGTGGGGGCTATGTCTAAAAAAAAAAAAACCCTTCCTGCTAAGTTTGAGAGGGGAGATAATTGCTAAAAGTTCTCTTTATGCTAGCCTTAGCAAACAAGGGAGGAAGAACAATAGGCATCCTTCCATGGAAGAGGGGGTGGTGAGGCATGACTCATCATGTGGTTTGCATTTCCAATCTTTTGGCCTTTTTAGGTATGGCTCAAATTGAACTGATTTTCTCTCAAAAGGAAAGAAAGAGCCTGTCTGAGATTTGCCAGGCAATATTTGTCACTGCCCTTGATGCTGGAAGCTCTACGCTTGAACTCAAGTTTAAAATTTTATATGCAAGCGAAAACCAAATGAAAGCCACGCTTCCTTTTTTTAAAAGGGGGCAAGGGGAAAAACAGGAGGCAACACATGCGCTATGGTTACTCCCCTTGGTGGTGCGTCACACATGCATTTTTTTAAAGGGGAGGGGAAAAAACAAGGGAGAGGAGCAGCAACACGCAGGGAAAGGCAGAAAAGTATAGCCTATGCAAAAATCAAGACCCAACACAGAATGACCACAAAAGGCGGGGAGTTAACTGCTGTGCAGAACTCGTGCATCACATCCGAACCTTTGGAATGCGCAGGTAAACGAAAGCAAACTGTTAATGCGGAATCGGCCCTGGTCTTTCAGGTGTTTCTGGAGCAAGTTCTTCTCTGCTGAAAGGAATATCTTGGGGGATGAATCTGAGACTTTGTATAGATGCAACGAACATGAAATTGAGCCAACTTCAGAGGACAGCGGAAGACAGGAGGGCCTGGCATGATCTGGTCCATGGGGTCGCAAAGAGTCGGACTCGACTGTGCGACTGAACGACAACAAATAGGCTCAGAAGCTAGGGTTGTTTTTCCCCCTGATTATGTGATGGGTGGACTAAGACAGTGAATATTTTCTCATTCCCATGGGAAAGAGGGGGAGTTGGGGGTTGGACAGCTAGGTCATTTGTTCTGCTGTATTGTTCTACAGTTTTTAAACTAGACTCTGCAGGCTTTCTGGAATTCTAGGACATTTTGCAACTGCATTTTAAAGCTGGTAGTTTCGACTGTGTTCTCCTCCACCTGGGTTTTTACTTTAACAAGTTCACCCTGGAGTTCCTGTTTTTTCTTATTAAGATGCTTAATTTCTAATTCTTGTTTCCTGTTAAGGCTTGTAAGTTCTTCTGTTTTCTTCTGCCACTCTACCCATTTTTTCCTAGCGGGATCTCGGGACTTTTATTGGGCTCTAAATTACTCTTTGTTCTATGTGTCTCCTCGGGGTGTGGGGTAAAGTCGTTAGTCAGCCGCCTGACTCACCTTAGAAATTATTTTCCCAGGCTGGTCTTCTGCCTGGCATCCATTTTGTGTGATTTTGGGGCAGGTTGTGTCTTATATTTATGATTTTTAAGGTGATATTGTATGAGGAGTGTTCATGCCTCTTTCTCTCTAACCGCTAAACTGCCCCTCCACGGGACGAGGGGTCTGGCTGCTAACAAAGGAAGCATCCTCCGATTGCTACCCCCACTCATTAATGCCAAACAGGTGCTCTTCTTGTACAGTGTGTGCCTGGCATGGCAGAGAAAGCAGGCTACCTAAGGCCAGGGGAGGCCTAAGGTCAGGACAGGGCTAGTGGATGTCCCACCCTACCAGGAACACCGACTCACCCTACTGAAGAATATTTTCTTTGAAAAATGGGCTTTAAAAATGCATACCACTAGTAGTTTTCTACAACAATGGCCCGTACCATTCCCAGTGTTTCATTTATGAACAGAAATTTCAGCCTGCTAGTTCAAATGGGATGGAACCTATGAAAAGATACTCAGATGTAGGAAATGACTTCAAAACCCCAGAGCCCTGCTCCATAGGTATTTTTAAGTGATGGAAGGCACTGTGTCAGGGATAAATAGGCTTTCAGTTCAGAGACCCGGTTTGGTGTAGTGGTTAAGTGCGCGGACTCTCGATCTGGGAGAACCGGGTTTGATTCCCCACTCCTCCACTTGCAGCTGCTGGATGACCTTGGGCAAGCCGTAGTTCTGTCAGAGCTGTTACTGAAAGAGCAGCTCTCAAAAGAGCTCCCTCAGCCCCACCTACCTCACAGAGTGTCTGTTGTGGGGAGGCGAAGGGAAAGGCGTTTGTAAGCCACTCTGAGTGAAGGGCAAAGTATAAATCCAATTTATTATTATTATTATTCGGCTATGTACCGAATTCCCTCCGTTGGTGCATGTAAGCATTCCGCTTCCACATGAGGCAGTAAACCCCTTCTCTCTTTGTCGCATTCATTTCGCATTAGAGGTGCTGTCCTCCCCATCACAGCGGCTGCTTTTTTGTTCCACTGCAGGGTCTACACCTGAGTACCCTGACAACGGAGAGCCCTACAATGATAACATCTCCCGAAAACCAGGAAACGTGCTGAAGACTCTCGATCCCATTTTGATCACCATCATAGCCATGAGTGCACTAGGGGTGCTTCTTGGGGCCATTTGCGGAGTCATCCTGTACTGCGCCTGTTGGCACAACGGTATGTCGGACAGGAACTTGTCTGCATTGGAGAACTACAATTTCGAACTCGTGGATGGCGTGAAATTGAAAAAAGACAAACTGAACACACAGAATACTTACTCAGAGGCGTGAAGGTGCAAGAGCAGCTAACGAAGGTTCAGAGAAATAGAGACAGAAGGACGTATCACTAGCTTAAGCTGGGGGACTGTGGATCTTCTTTTACTGTACAGGCTGAAAACTACGTTGGGGACGTTGAGCCAAGCTTTTCTCAGGAGCTTCAGTCAGTGTACCAGATGTACTAAAACATGGACAACAATCTGTGTTAAACAATCTGAATCATGTACAGGTCTACTTCTGTTTCTAATTTGAAATAATCAAATGCTGGTGTTGAGACCAAGTATGATTGGCTTAAGAGGGGGCGTTTTGTTTTGTTTCTGTCTTCCCTCCTTCCTTGGTTTCTGTTTCCTTCCCCTTCGATGAGTATGTTTTATGTTTTATTGTGCAAAAATCCAAGATGCTGTCACAGAGTGTATTTTGGGGTGTGTGTGGGGGAGGGTCCTTTGGAGGGACATGCTGTCTGTAGCTCAGTGCCCATGGAAAAAAACCCATATTGGAGTAACAGCAATTTAGTTGATTCATGAACCTATATTTGTGTATAATTGCTTGTGTTGTGCATAGGCAAGGCAAGGGTTAGCGTGTTTTTTTGAAAAGTACTGTAGCATCAGTACTGGTATAGTGTGTCAAGCTCTGTTTACCAAGCAATACAGTCAGAATTTTATTGGTGTTTCTCAGTGTTGTACTAAACTTTGTGCTTGTGACTTCCATGCAAGAAATACGTGCCATCATCCAGAAACAACCGGCAAACCAAGTGAACTGCCTACAACTGTAACGAAACAAAAGCAAGAGTCCTTAGCACTGGCTAGTGTATGTCCTCTCAAGTGCCTTTTTGTTTGTGACGCTTCTCGTTGTATTCACATTAACAACAGCTTTGTCTCCCTCCGGTTAATGACCTTGTCCTTTTTTTTTTTACTTACCCCAAGGACTCACTGACTAACAAGAAAGTATATTTTTAGTGTAAGTAAACCTTGAGAAGGCAAGGGCTAAGGAAAATTTGGTGGCTTGATTCTTCCACTTTCTGTACGTCAGTTTCGTGTCTCTGGACCATTTTTTGTACAAAGCTGCAATATTTCCCCCCTCCCTCCTCCTTTTAGAGTTCTTTCATACAGAATGTATTTTCAAATATAGGCGCTCTCTTTCTTCTTGTTCTCTTGCTCTTTGTCTCTGAGTAGACTGTTGCATAGGCATTTGCCACTGTCAAGGAAAAGACAAATGCAGCTTTAATTTGGTAGGACTGGCAAGAAGGATTTTATTAGACTTTGTGTTTGTTTGTTCGTTTAAGGGGGGGAAATTAAGGGAAGTTTTCGTCATTTACCTTCCGAAGTTGAACTTTGGGTTTCTTGTTAACAGCATAAAGTGACAGTATCTTTTTTTTTCTTTAGTAAGTCATTATATAAGTTTTTTTAAGATTCTGTACAAGGCATTCATATAATGGACAGGTATGGGGGATTTTCTGTTGCTAAGCAAAGAACGCTCTTTCTGTCTACCAACACTATCCAATATAAGGGTGATCATGTCTATTTAGAAATGTTTGTGCTAATCCGGGTTATGCTGATGCTGCTACAAACAGATGGTGCTGTGTTGGCTTGGCCAACAATGATATGCTAAATTAAAATCAATACATATTCATAGTACAGTGGCGTAAAACACCGCCAACTAAGTACCCATGAAATCCTAAATGCAAGAATGTACCTGGCCAGAGTCCACCACATGGGAGTTCTGCACCAGAGAGTTCATCTGGTGGCTCAAACAGAACAACTGTCTATTTTAATTCCCTGCACCTTCCCTTCTTCTTCTTCTTTGTTTTCCTAGAAGCAGATGACTTCATGTTTGAAAAATACGTCCGCACAAAGAAACAGATCATGGACACAATATATTTAGGAACTGCATTATTACCTGGCACGGGCGTAAATGACAATACTAGTAACTACAAGGCAATTTCGCCACCTTGGTTTTGTGTAGTGAATATTTTGTTGAAATGCTCCCTCACATGGTGAGAGTTGGTATTTACCACATCAGACTGAACTCTTGAAAACAACTAGATCGGAGCTCAGTAGCACCTTAGAGACCAACAAGATTTTCAGGGTATACGCTTTCAAGAGGCAAAGCTCTTTCATCAGATACAATTATTCTTGAGAGCATATACCCCAAAAATATTGTTGTTCTCTAAGGTGCTACTAGACTTGAATCTAGTAGTTCTGATGCAGACCAACCCAGCTACCCTCTGAAACTATCTTGAAAGCAAGTATTTGCTCCAGATGTGGTACATTCGAATGATCACCACAGGAGGTTGCGCTCAACCTAAATATTCACCATGAGAGAAATCACCCTGACAAAAAGCAGCATGAGAATCAGGCCTTACAATAATTAGGACACCCTGCTTGTTAACAATCCCAAAGAGACGATCAAGCTCAGTTTTCAACTGCACTTGTTTCCTGTAATGTTAGTTGCAATCTTCAAGTTATCTGTTCCCTCCTTGCTTGTCACATGACTAACTTAAGACATGCAAACATCACTTTAAAAGGGTAAATTTCAGCATGAAAGCATGCATTTGGCAGAGCTCCAGAAGCAATGGTCTGAATGTGTGTGTGAGCATTCATACAGGATTGTTTCACCCATACAAGTCGACCACTGTCTCCTTACTGGATGACTTAACTCTTGATGACTTTCAGATAAACAACTGAACTGTTTTTATTGGAAAATACTGTCTGAGTTGATGCCTGGTGAGGTGAAAGTTGTATCTGCTGTGGCTTGTTCACACATGAAAGTAATTGCTTGATGCGATATTCAACATGTGATTCACATATATAGATTGCCCTGAGAAATACCAGACTCAACTATTTGGCATCTATTTCATTCAAGAAAAGTGCACTAGGCATTGTCCAGAACCCAGAAGTTGCCATTTTTCAGTGCTGGAGAAGACTTAAAACCACTAAAACCTTTTAAATGATATTGCATGGATGTTAAGTTGCAAATGTGAAGAATTATATCATAAGAAGCTCTCCGCTGACATCACGGAAACATATTAGCGTGGATAGGCTTCCGCTGACATGCACGCACATAACCCCCCCGTGGGAGGGGGGGGAAATTCAAACATTTCAGTTTGTTTTAATAGATGCGGGGGCTCAGCTGTTTGTTTTGTTCTAGTTGGAACAGAAATGCGTTTGGCTGCAATCCATTTGCTACTGTGGATCCGTCATCCGTTTCAATTAGTACCAGTGAAACAAACGAAGTTGTACAAGATTGGTGCTTGGTGCCTGGCATCTCCTCCTGGCTCCCTTCTAAATCCTATTGTGCCAGCCCGTTAACATCCAGGTGAGGCACGTTTGCTTGCTGTACCATTCTTAACATCGGAATGGTGACATTTGCAGGGCAAGCAGATAGGCCAGCAGACAGCTGAAGCGGAGACAGCCAATCACACGGACAAGCTAAGGAGACCTCCTCATCCATGCAGCCATTTAATGTTAAATCAGAATTCCAGATTTTTGATTTCTTCAAAAGGGGGAATGAGTGAAAAACTGCCCTTGAACAAAAGAAAAAACGATACTGCAACTTTAAATGGGAAAAAAAGTATCTTGCACTGATAAATATATTTAAAAATTATATGTTTATAAAGTTATTAATTTGTAAAGGCAGTGTTACAAAATGTTCAGTTTATATTGTTTTAGATTGTTTCATAATTTTGAAAGTGTAAAAATAACATATTTTTTTTCTTTCTCAAAAAAAAAACCCTATAAAAATCTTCTGTAGTAAAATGATTTCATTTTACTGGTATAATATTGCTTCATGTTTTTGTACCATCATAAAATTTTGTGCAAATTTTTTTACAGAAATTTTTTATTTTCTATGACAATATGACACTTTTAAATTGTTATTTCAAAATGAACAGCGAAGCCTTAACTTTAAATGACGTTTGTATTCTTGGACACTGAGTAGCATTAAGAAGAAAAAAACACATAGGATTGAATTGTAATTTAAATTTCCAAACAATGACTACTACATTCCAAAGAAACAGTTGAATTAAACATTTTCATAAAATATCCCATACCTCCATGACTTTTATTACTCTTACAGCTGTACTGGTTTTACAACAGCTTGCCCTTTTCAAAGCATCTTTTAACAAGCACAGATGTTTAGATTTTTGTTTGTAAGAAAAGCATCTTGTCACACAGAATAAAACAAAGTAGCACTGAAACCAATTCTGCATTCAAAATCCACCCCTGAATACTGCACATTACATTATGAGGACTGGCATTAGTTATCAGATGTTCAGGTCAAATTGAAACTCAATTGTAATGCAGACCGCTAACTGTACAGATTCTCTACAAACACTTGCAGTCTTTGTGTGGAGACAGATTTCTGTGTGCAGATAAACTGTTTGCAGAAACCTACTGAATGGGAGGAAAAACAACCACTATCATAGAATCAGAGCTGGAAGGAGCCACACAGGCCATCTAGTCCAACCCCCCTGCTCAATGCAGGATCAGCCTAGAGCATCCCTGACAAGTGTTTGTCCTGCAGCTGCTTAAAGACTGCCAGTGAGGGGGAGCTCACCACCTCCCTAGGCAGCTGATTCCACTGTTGCACAACTCTTACTATAAAAAAGTTTTCCCTCATGTCCAGCTGGTACCTTCCCGCCCTTAATTTAAACCCATTATTGTGAGTCCTGTCCTCTGCTGCCAACAGGAACAGCTCCCTGCCTTCCTCTAAGTGACAGTCCTTCAAATACTTAAAGAGAGCAATCATGTCCCCCCTCAACCTCCTGTCCTCCAGACTGAACATTCCCAAGTCCCTCAGCCTTTTCTCATAGGGCTTGGTCTCCAGGCCTCCGATCATCCTCATCTCTCTTCTCAGCACCCGCTCCATTCTGTCCACATTCTTTTTAAAGTGAAACCTCCAGAACTGCACACAATACTCTAGGTGTGGCCTGACCAATGCAGTGTACAGTGGGACTATGATATCTTGCAATTTGGATGTTAGAGCCAACAAGTTGGAAGCACACAGGTACCAACCATGAATGTAGTTAAGCTGGGATGCAAGAGGTCAGTCTAGCAAACAAGTGAGAGATCAGGACCAGGCAG